TTAAAGAAAGAAAAGAAGTCTTTAAAAGTTTTTAAAGTTATGTAAGTAATTCTAAAAACCGTGTTCTTGTAGTTATTATTTCTATTGTACAAGTACCAGTTTATACCTTTTACAAATAACTATTTACTTTATTCTTTTATTATTTACTTTATTCTATATTTACTTATATAACTACTATTACTTATAATAATACTTATAATATTTACTTTATTCTTTTATCACTTTGATAAAGAGATTCTTCTGACTGAGTCTTTTGGGAGAGGGGAGTAGTGAGGGATTGGGGAGTCTCAGCTTGGCTAGAAAGTAAGAAGGGGGGTCTTTGAGAAAAATAGTTTGGGAACCACTGTTCTAGAGAATCCACTGACTCAGGGCGCACTGAGGATGCAGCCAGCTCAGTAAGAGGAATATCTCAGGTTGGGATGTCAAGGTCTCCTTAATCATGTTGCAGATGGAGATCTGGCTCCTCAGGTTTGGGATTAAGCAGAGAAAGGTCAACAGACCTCTAATTTGGCAATTAAACACACCTCAGTGAGTGCCATTGTTGGAGATGGATCTTCTGCAGGAGGTGCTAAAGACAATGGGGACTTGGAGGCTGCTGCAGACTGCACAGGAGGTGATTGAGACTCTGGGGGTGGAGTTGCAGATGAGTGGGAGCATGCTGAAGAGTGGCAGAGCACTATTCAATTCAATTCAGTTTATTTATATAGGCCAAATCACAACAAAGTTGTCTCAGGGCACTTTACAGAAACATTCACATACATAAAAGCCAATTAGTAAAGTTCTCTATCTAAGGAATCCAGCAGACAAGTTGAATCTTGGCTTCATTACAGTCTCCCATCCTGAGCAAGCACAGTGGCAACAGTCAGTGGAAAGGAAAACTCCCTTATAAAAGGAAGAAACCTCCAGCAGAACCAGGCTCAGGACAAGCAGCCATCTGCTTTGACCGGCTGGTTGAGAGGACAGGAAGGAGAGACAGACGAACACAGAATGGTAGGTCCAGGTGCATCTGAAAGACAAATAAACACGTTAAGGATAGAAAAAATAATTACAAATACAAAACAGGTTGAGCAGAGTAAGTAAAGACAGTAGCAGAGTGAAAATTGTGGTCAGTTTGTCCTTCAGTAGTCTAAGCCTATAGTAGCATAACTAAGGGACAGCTCAGGAAACCCAAGCTGACCCTAACTATAGGATTTAGCAAAAAGGAAAGTCTTAAGCCTAGTTTTAAAACTGGACAATGTGTCAGCCTCACGGACAAAGATTGGCAGTTGGTTCCACAAGAGAGGAGCCTGATAACTGAAAGATCTGCCTCCCATTCTGTTTTTGTAAATTCTAGGAACCACAAGTAAACCTGCAGTCTGAGAGTGAAGCGCTCTGTTAGGAAAATATGGAACAATAAGATCTGTAATATAAGATGGAGCCAGGTTGTTGAGAGCTTTGTAGGTTAGAAGTAAGATTTTGAAATCTATTTTGGATTTGACAGGGAGCCAATGGAGAGAAACTAAAACTGGAGAAATATGATCTCTCCAACTAACTCCGGTTAAGACTCTGGCAGCAGCATTTTGGATCAACTGAAGACGTTTTAAAGAAGTATTTGGACATCCAGATAATAAACCATTGCAATAGTCCAGTCTAGACGTGACAAATGCATGGACCAGTTTTTCTGCATCATTTTTAGATAAAATGTTTTTAATGTTAGTGATATTACGCAGGTGGAAGAAGGCAGTTCAAGTAACGTTTTTAATGGGGGGGATAAAAGAAATGTCCTGATCAAAAATAACACCAAGATTTTTAACATTAGAGCTGGAGGACAGATTAATGCCATCTAAGGAGGGAGAAAGACTGAAAAATTCATTCCTAAGGTGCTCAGGTCCAAAACCCAAAACCTCAGTCTTGTCTGTGTTCAACAGGAGAAAATGAAGGGTCATCCAGGTTTTTATGTCTTTAAGACATGCTTGTAGTCTAAGTCGCTGATATGATTCATTGGGTTTAAAGGACAAATATAATTGTGTGTCATCAGCATAACAATGGAAATTTATCCCATGCTGTTTAATAACTTTCCCTAATGAAAGCATATATAAAGTAAAGAGTATTGGCCCAAGCACTGAGCCCTGAGGAACTAGAGGAAGAAAAGGTGCTAAAGTGTGGCAAAGAGCTGGAGGTGGGCAAGGTGCTGTGCAGTGATGGGATGCTTGATGGATGTGGGATGCTGGAGCATGGTGGGATGTTGGAGCATGGCGAGATGCTGGAGCATGGCGAGATGCTGGAGCATGG